AAGTATTTCCACTTAGGTGGGAAATGGAGAGAAGCTGGGGAAAATGTGGTGTAGTGGTGAAAGTGTTGTACTGAACCTTGGAAGAGCTTAGCTTCTAGTGTCTACTGATCCCATAAACTCATTGGGTTATCGTGGGGAAATCTCTTTGTCTCTGTCTGACCTACTTCACAGGGCTGTTGTGAGGAGACTTGTGTATACCACATTAAGCTCAGTGGAGGAAAAGCAGAACACAGTAAATAATAAAATAACAGTGGAATTTGCTTTTTTAAATCCTATAGCCAGGATAGTTAGGGCTGGGTTTTCTGATATATTAACCTTTGTCTACATGTGGCTGCAAGTGATTAATCAGAGAAGAGATATGCACATGTCTTTGTTCTTTCAGTTCCTAACAGGATTGTACAGATTTAAAATACATTGATACAGTTGGTTATTTGAAAAAAAAAATTATTTTGGACCACATCTTGTGACCCATCTAGTCAAGCAGCGCATCCAGCTACGTTTCTGCACCCTGGCAAATGTGTGCCTATGTGAGCACATGAATCTATAGCAGGCCACCATGCATGACAGGCAATTTCCTTGCGCAATTATTATGGTTATTTATTTATAGCATCCATAGTCTGCTCTGTAGCTGAAGAGTCCCTCCGAAGTGGCTAACACAGTTATTAAAAGGATAAGCGAAGCCTCTGTGCTGAGGATTATAATCTACAAGGATATGACGCAAAAAAGAAAGGGAGAGAATTCAGCCACATGTTCTTACTTTTTATGTGTCTGTATATTATATTCCATGAACCTGAAGAAATACTAAATTTTAAAAAAGGTCACATTGAAATATATCTCATTGTCTTAAAGGTGCTACAATACTTCCCTGTGTGTGTTATTTGAATTTATGGTCAATATCCCATTCGTAGTCTCCATTAGAGTAGACCCACTGGGTGGTAAATCATATTTATCTACATTATTATACAATTATCTTTTAAAAGTTTGAGGGTGATGAATTAAGTTAGGTGCAAAGTGAACTAGGCTTTTAATGGAAAGCAGAGAATAGCAATTCAAACTAGATTATAGAAAGAGCAATGGTTTTCTGGTCCCATTTTGTTTGTTGAGTCTCTCTGTTTAACTGTGCAGGTTAGCCTTCAAGGGGACGATCCATGGCCATGAGAGGCAGTGGCAAAAGCACTCAGGAAAATTACTTTTGGGGACTAAAATTCCCAGGATCCCCACTCCAACAGGGTAGCTACATCAGAGTTTTGGAATTTTTTGCTTCTTCCAAATTTTGTATCATCAAAGTCTGAAGGAATGCGTAGAACTCAAAAGCCTATGACATTTTTTTATATTTTAGAGGTCCAATAAAGGCATTATGCAAACCTGAATTTTGTTCCTATTCTTTGATTGTAAGGTAATATTTTAAATGTTCTGTTTGTACATTAATAGTAGAGTGGTGCCCCAACTTACGAATTTAATTGGTTCCGGAATGATGGTCGTAACTCAAAATGGTCGTAAGTCGAAGCACCATTTCCCATAGGAATGCACTGAAATGCAATTAATCCATTCTGGCGGAAGAAAAAAATGACCAAAACCCCAAAAACAAACAAAAAACAACAACCAAAAACAGCAACAACAACACTGCAAGACCCGTCGGAAACACAATTAATCTGTTCCGGCCAAAGGAAAAATAAGCAAACAGAAAAGCAAACAAAGCCTGCAAATCCCATCGGAAACATGATTGATCAGTTCCGGCCGAAGAGGCCAAAGGAAAAAAAAACACGAGAAGCAAACAAACTCTTCAAGACCGATCAGAAATGCAAAAAATATAATAAAATAACAAATAAAAACCACCAAAAAGCAAAGACCCATCACATCATAGAAACATAACCCCACCACCCAGCCCAAACCCACGCTGCAAAACCCACTCAGAGCAGGCAATTTTTAAAAAGTAGAAAGTAGCACCTTACAAGGCAGTCCAAAGCCTCCTCCGAACATACACTCTCTAACCGTTGGGGTGAAAGAGCTACAAAGAAACAGCCTCTTCACCACCAATGGTTAGCATTTTGAATTCCCCGCCTTTTCCCCTGCTTTTTTTCTAGTTGTAACTCGAAGCTCCGGTTGCAAGTTGAAGCAAAATTTTGCGGCCAGAGCTGGTCCTAACTCGAAATGGTTGTAAGTCGGGATGGTCATAAGTCGAGGCACCACTGTATCACAGACCCTGGCTAAATGGCATCAAGCTGATTAACTTTAAATACATAATGCTGTTTTCTAAAGTCTTTAACTACATTTTAAAAGTTGTATTTGCTACTTCTAAATTCCTTATAGTATAGCATTTTAGCATGCTTTTTGTTAAATGGTTTAAATTTAAGGTCCTATTATAATTTGCTATTGCATATTACTATTATTGGAGAGACTATGATCTTTAAATGCTGCTAATAGATATTATAAACTATTAGTTTTAAAAGTATATGTAAACAGGGAGTAGTAAAAAAGTAACTGCCCTGCTTACATATGCGTTGATAAAAGCTACAGCTATTTCCTCAAAGTTTATTTCAGAGCACTAGATAAGAAGCCACAGCATCCTTGATAATATACTATTATGACTTGCCAGATACACATTTTATATTGAAATCATTAAGAACTTTAAATAAGAATCCCCTAAATATTTGAGTTAAACATTCTGTACTACTTGACTGACAGAATTAACAGTTCCCCTTCACAACAGAAATGAAAAAAATGAATTAAAATATCTTTGCTCTCTCTAGCTTGTTCCAGAATGATTCTTTAAAAATATATCCCCAATCTACCCCATCCAATATTATGGCATTAATTACAGAGATTCCACAATTTCCCAAGGGTCATTTTTACCAAGCAATGAGATCCTGTCCTCCATCTCAAAATCTTTCTCTTCTTTTAATTGGAAATCCCTCTCTATTCTTCTTTCAGCCTTTAGAAAACTGCCAGTGGCGAGCTATATTAATAGCTCCTACATGACTCAGAATTGGTGACTCTTTCTTCCTCCCTACCCCTCCCCTGCTGTACTATGGCTTGAACTGTACTTTGTCCAAAACAAAAAGACAAAAAACTTGGCCTCTCTCTCTACACTCCATCCCCGCACTTACTACCCATGGGAAAGAAAAGAAAGCCAACAATACACAAAGGACAACATTCAACTCTAGTTGTTTAAGGAGTCTGAATTTTTCCGGTTCACAGTAAGTTTACGTGCCAGGGGAGACCGAGGCTGCAAAGCTGTCTTATGTCTACGAGAGGTATTGAGCTGGGTGACATGGTATACAGCAGGCTTGGTTTCACCAGGAATCTGCAGTCATTTGGAACAGGGCATTTGTATTGTGCCAACCATTATGTGGAATGGCCTTCCCTGTAAGATCTGACAAGCACTTGTAGTTTTATGTGCATATTGAAAATATAATTATTGCATACAACTCCAACTATATACAGTAGTCCAGTTATGTCATCTATCCAATGGACTGTAGAAACTTAGGATGACTTGTATGTTGTATATTTGTATATATTGAACTGCATTGTATAAATATTGGCCAGAATCCTTTCGGCAGAATCCTTACTCATGCAAGTGGTTCCCTCCTTTATAAGAGTGCCCATCGGCCAAGTGCATACCCTGCCAAAGTTGGGAAACATTTCTGTTGTATGTTTCTCCTCACATGCTTTCTCTCTGTACGTTTTCTGCTGTTGTACAGCAATTACAAGTGGCTTATAAATATTCCTAAAGAAATTGTTTTCAACATAGCTTGATCACCAAGGCATGTAATTCTCTTAGTTTCCAAGAGTCCAGGAGGTTCATGAAAATAAAGTTGGTGATAAGAAAAACTGGAGCCAAATGGCTTTTCTCAGAGTGTAAGTGTGGGGCATTTGGCTTAGATGGGCAGGAGGGAGTAGGGAGTTTCTGGAGTGGGGGCAGGGAGCACGTTCTGCTGGAGCTTCCTTATGCCTCTGGCCCTGTTACCTTGGGAAGTGGTGAGCCCTCCAACTCTGGAGACATTCAAGAGCCATCTGTCAAATATACTTTGACTTGGATTTCTGCATTGAACAGGGGGTTGGCCTCAATGGCCTTATAGGCCCCTTCCAACTCCATTATTCTGTGATAACCTAATACAATAGCCTATGACAAGTGTGGCTAAGAATAGTCCATTGATATATCTAACAAAATGCTCCTGAATAGAGTTGCAAGAGACCAGCCAGCTAGAAAGATGTTATATTTCTACACACTTCTTGGTTAGGGTGGTCGGAAGCAAAAGCAGACAAGGCTCTTGCATCTGAAATAGCCATGAAGAAAGAATTTCAGCAGGAGTTGTTTGAATTATATCGTGTCCACATCAGAGCGTCTTGAAATGTGATGTTTGGAGCAGATTTATTGCCTTGTGATGGGTCCCAAAAATGGATTTTTTCAGGAATTCATGTGGTTCAGAATATTTTAAAAGGAACTTGTTGCATTACTCTTATAATTCTTAGCATCATGTTTTACATAATCAGCTGCATTACACATGACAGTGTTTGCCCTGGGGTGGGGGAAAGGTCCAGTGTTTTATAATAAAATGTTAGCCATCTGACACAAAATAAAATAAGGCCAATTCCATGCACAACAACATGTGCCAAAGGATATTTTATAGCCTGTAAGGTATGACACTGAAACACTTCCATCACTAGAAAAAATAATGCTGGTGAACGTTGGAAAGTAGGAAAAGAGAAAACCCACATATGTATTTGATAAGATTGACCCAGTAAAGAAAGCTGCAGCCTTCTTCGCCAGACCTGAGCAGGTCTGTGACCGAGGCAACAAGACCTTCTGGAGGTCAGAAGCCACTTAGAGGGCACGTACGTAACAAGGTAGCACAAGAGTCATTGCTGGATTAGGAATTCCCTTCCAGGGCTCGCAGTTTACTTGGAAATAATTCGCATTTAATTCAGTGTGTGATTGTTCCAAGAAAACACATACACCGAGTATGATTGTATAACCGTGTTGACAACTGTAGCCTTACAATTCTCGTTCGCCCATCGTTATAAAAAAAGTAAGTTTCACTAAAACCACTGGAGCTTACTATGCGGAACGACATTCCAACCTTTTTTGGGACCCACGATCTCTTTCTTTTCCACGAGGACCCCACCGAGTCCCCTGTCCACGTGACCCTCCCACACTCCGGTTCATCCACCCTGACCTTTGTAGCAAAGCAGCTCTTCGCCTACTCGCCCCCGCTCCCAAATATAGTTAAGGGAAGCCGCTTCAGCCCGCCAAGACGCGCATGCGCCCCTCTCGTCCGGCGCATGCCCGGTTGGAAAACCGAGGCGCCAACACCTCTGATAGGGGGGCGAAAATGTAAGGGGGAGAGCCGCCATATTGCGGAGCTGTCAGCGGACGCGGCGTTGCCGCCGCTGCTGCTACTCCTGCGCGTCGGTCCTGCCGCAGGAGGAGCGGCCCCAGCGTGCCTTGAGGAGGCGAGCGAAGCCCGGAGCGGCGTTGCCGCGCTTCCTGCGCCGTCGTCGTCCTCTTTCTCGTCGCCAAACTCGGCTGCTTGGGAGACGGAGAAGAGCAGCGGAGCCGAGCTGGCCGCCCCCGGGCGCCAGAGCCCCGCCAGGTGAGGAGCTGGGAGGTGAGAGGGGTGACTTGCCTCCAACCTCTTTATTTTTTGACCCGCCAGGCCTCGGCTCGCCTGGCCCTTCTCCTTCTCCTTCACGCCTCACACTTTGGGACCTCCACGGTAAGGCACTGGGCTCGGGTTCCCCCGCGCAGCAGGCAGGAGTCAGGAGCCCAGCTGCTTTTTATTTTTGTGCACGCACAGATCCTGTGGAGAACGGAAACGACTCCCCTTTCCCCTTCGCCCACCACCACCATCTCTTTCCTTGGCGGCCACGGGGGGCTCCATCCGCCTCCCAGTCGTTTCCTTCCGCGAGGAGAGGACTCGGGCTCTTCCTTCCCCCGTTTGTTGCTCTCCCGAGGTAGAAAGGAGGAGGGTGTGTGTGTATGAGTGCCCCCGGGCCGTGGGCCACCGCTTCACATTGAGATTTGAATACTGTATACTGTAAAAATGCGGCTAATTGTGGGTAGACCGCTCTAACTTTTGTTTCCTGTCCCCCTCCCCCCCCTCCGCCCACCCGCAGTCTTCAGTCCCTTCGGTTCCCTGGCTGCAAACGGAGAAAAGTGCGAAGAGGTTGCAGCGCGAGGCTTACTCGGGAGTAGGTCCCCTTGAACACAAAGGGAATCAATCAGCTACTTGTTCATTTTGCTTTAGGACTCCAGCCAGGCGATTTGGGTTGCTGTATATTTACTTGGGAGTTACTTTTCATTTAATACCGAGGGGAGTAAGTCGCATCGAGTTTGGCGAGAGTGGGTCTCGATCCTGAGTAAGCGTCTCTGGAATGGAAAGGAAGTCTTCAAGCATCTGAGCCTGCAGCGCGTGAGCTTAGATCGCAGCTGCACTAGAACTATACATCTAAGTTAAGATAAACTTGTATTCTGGAAGGTTTTCACGGCCAGAATCCGATGGTGGTTGTAGGTTTTTCGGCCGTTTGGCCGTGTTCTTAAGGATAAACCCTAAGATAAATTTGTTCAGTGAGCTCGTAGGTTTTTTGGGCCGTTTGGCCGTGTTCTTAATGATAACCCCTAAGATAAATTTGTTCAGTGAGCTCCTGTCCAAGAGGGATCTCAGAGCTGTTTATTTCCTTTTCCTCTGGATCATATGGCAAAACCTAAGGACGGCCAGGGAAAGAGATGAGTTAGAAAGAAAGGAGAAAGGGGAGCTGAAATAAAAGCATCTCCGCCATGTGGCTTGGCTACTTGTTGCAAACCGGGACAAGTACATTGTTAACACGTTCCTCCTGTCAGCAGCTGCCAAACGTCTACTCAGTCCCTTCCTTCACAATCTCAGGAGGAGGGGGATACTCTAGTGATGCTGCCAGCAACTGGAGAGACCAGCAACTGCTTGTGTACTGGGCTCAGAAATGACTGTTCAGGATCCCTTTTATGCCTTCTGTTGTGGGGAAGGCAGGGCTTGAAATTTAGATTCTAGAGTAAGACAGCAGAGTATTCCTGAACTTGCATTATGGCACAGTAAAGATCAGGGAATAATTGAATTAGAGATCATCTGCACCATGTTATCCATATGAATGTAATACTGCTGTTGGGTTAAAATATGTACAAGACTACAAGATCTTTTCACCAGGCAAGATGTTAAAAAAATAGTTGGGACAACGGAAGGAAAAAAGTTGCATTGTCTTTTGATTTGTTTGGTACAGCCCAATAAAGCTGTTTTAAATTAATGTGGAATTCAGAATTATTCTTACAGTCTACAAGGCTACCCTGGCTTTTAAAATTATAATATTATATTGGATAGTTGTTTTTCTTTTTGGCAATGTACTGCAGAATGTGTAGAGGTACTTTGTTTTTTTTTATATAATTAGCCAGCCCATTTGCCAAATTAGTTTTCCTTTCAAATTCAATCAGTAAGACAACATCCGTTTGCCAAAGCAGAAATAGCTGCTGGTAGAGTGATTTGTGGAACATGCACAATTTTGCACAATCCAGTGCAAATAAACAAAATTGTAGTGCTTAGTATAGTAAGGCAACCATTTGCTTAATCATGTGTTGTTAATAAAAGCTCCCAGAATAGATGAATAAAGAATGATCTCATGTGAAACAGCTCCAAAGATTTATGCTGTCTATTGTTGAAAACAAATATATGTTTTAGTGGTGTTTGGTTTTTAATATAGTAATTTACATAATGACACAATAATGCTATTGTAAATATTTGGGTCAATGTTTTATGCAGATCTTAATCATGGTACACTTTTGAACAAAGAAATTAAAGCCAAAAGTTAGGGTTTGGGAACTTGGGCTGCAGTTCTTCAAACAGACTGCTTAATTACTGTTGATTTTAGTGGGATTTAAGCATTTTTGTGCATGTAGCACTGCAACATTCAAAGTCAGAAATTCTGGATAAGCAATTCTGCTGAATCAGACTATGGTCAAAAATAGATACTGTTTGAATATGAACATACACAGTTAATATTTCTCCTTTTTGTTACTGAAGTAGCTGTGTGAGAGTGGTGTTGATTTGATCTATGACATGCAATGAGAGTTATGCAGCCTTCTTACTCCCCCAAGCCATTATTTTTTCCTTACTGAAAGTTCACCAGGTTTTCTCTTCAGCAGCAAATAACAGTTTGGGGGTATGCCACATTTGTCAGGGCATACAGCCTCTTTGGATCCCTCCATTGGGAGAAATGTGCGTTATAAATAAATTAAACACAATAATAAGTAAATAAATTTAAAGATGTCATATACTTTGTTCCTTAGAATCCAGAAGATTCAAGATTCAGTGTTCAGCAGTGGCCTGACAAATGTTTCTGGGAAATTTGCAGGTTGACCATGGAGGCAATATATTTGTTGCTGCTATTTTCCCCAACATTTGGGATGGAGAGACATTGTATTGTCATATGTAGGATTCATTCATTTAGTTCTAGTGGTTGAGAACTGTTGCTAAACTATAATTTTTTAAAGAGCCATCAGTATATTCTGTGGCAAAGAGTTTCTTGACCTGTACTTAGTGTGAAGTATTTTCTTTTGTCTCGTTTGAGTTTCTTGCCATTCAGTATTCTGAGTGATTTTTGTATTTCTATGCAAGACATTTCCTGTCTTCTTTATAAACCTGTGTCATGTACCCCTACCAAGATTTTTTTTGTTTTTGGCTGAGCTAAAAAGACCTCATTTGGTGCCCTCCAGGTATATTGGATGACCATTCATATCCTTCCCAGCTAGTAAAGCCATGTGGTTGGGTTGGTACATATTGGAGCACCATTTGGAGAAACCTGCTTTAGTATATTAAGTGCTGGCTGTGTTGACTATTCGTTTTTTGTAGCATTTATAGGAATTTTTGTACCATGGTATACATTTTAAGATATACTACAGCTCTACACTGTATTTCAAATATGGTTGTGCCATATATTTTTTGAAGATATTATGATATTGGCCATTTCATTTTCTTTCCATTTTCCAATTCCTAAAATATATCACTCTGTGTCTCATTCATATAAAGGGAATTGTCTTTTTCATTGCTGTTGTACACTAATTTGACGTTTTTATTCTTTTGCCCACAAAGATTCAAAATCCCGTCAGTATTTGTGTTAGGATGTTTTGCCCTGATGTCCCATCATTTTACATTACAGTATTTCATTGAATCTGACTTATAATTTTGTTGCCCATTCATCCAGTTTGGAGAGAACATTTTCAAGCTCCATCAAGTCTGCTAGGGTTTTTGCCATTCATAAATCTCTATCTCCAGTTGTGATCAGGATGCTTGCTCCTTCTTGCTGCTTTTTAATCATTAACCAATTACCGTTTTCATAAGAGTGCTCTGTCCTCTTCAGTTTTATGATGGGGAAGGTTGTTGAGATGTCTCTGCTGCGGCATTTTAAAAGCATTTTGATCCAAATATATTTATGTTTACAGGAATACTTCTGCCCACATTATTAATACAATACTTTAGTGTTCTTGTTAGGGTAATAATTCTGGCTTCAGTGACAATTTGAAGTAAAGTTGTGTAGTCTCTATGTTACATAATTGAAGATAATTCTGTGGGGAAAAATGCCCACGTGCCTATTCATTTAGATGTCTAAAATATTAATGCAGATTTTTTGGGAATTTGAAAATGCCCTTCAGCTCTGTTCTAGTCAACACTAAAGGATATGAAATATTATTCTAATTTTTGTTTAGTCTTTATACACTGGGATGGGACATTGTTGTACCCTAGCCATATTTACCATACAGGAGGAGACATACAGTGTAGGCATTCTGCAGTGTTTTTCACTTGAACTCTGAATTTTAGCCAATGACCATGCACAGTGAGTATTTTTAAACAGACAAAAAGCATCTCAGGCAAAAATTGTCCCAACAGATCTATTGCATTTTACCAGTGAGATTTTTTTTTGTCCTAGCCAGTGTGATGTATTGTGACCAAAAATGTCCCTTGCTGCTTTTTGGCAAACTATGATGATGGAAATAGG